AGCAGAAGGAACCATGAAGAGTTCTAGAAGGTTCTGGCTAATGGCTTCATTGACTCTGGAACCAGAACCAGGACTCAGCAGTCTGGGTTCTGGTCCTCTCCCAACTCTGGACCCAAGGAGCTACGGCCCGGTTCTGTTCCTCTGGTTCCGATAAGCCTCTGCTTCCTGCTCGAGTCCTCTGGACATCCGTCCAATCAGCAGACCTCCCCATCATTACATCACTTCCTGTTTACAGGCTCATGATCTAAACAGAATTCAACTGGTCCTGAAATCAGAGAATCTGAGATTTTAACGAAATTGATCCATCAGAGAAAAGAAAACTTTTATATTTAAGAAGGTTTATTAGATTTTGTTCAATAAAATAAAAAATGAGTTTTTTCTTTTTAAATCATTAAATTTTTTTGGCAAATTATCTTCCTGTTCCAAACAAGGAAACTCCACCTCTCCGACTGTCAGCTGATTGGCTCTCCAACACTTCATTTATCCATTAAATATTCATTTATTCATTAAATATTCATTTATTCATTAAATATTCATTTATTCATTAAATATTCATTTATTCATTTCATCCTGAATCCCAGAAAGAAGAGCTGCTGATATTCCCTGACTGTGATCGTTTTCTCTGTGAATAAAGGGACAAAGATTGAAGTTTTCCACCATTTTCAGATTCCTTCAGATCCTCCTGTTCTGGAAAAACCTCCAAATAATAAAGAGAAACATGAAAAGAAACACAGATTAGAAGAAAGATGGACCGAAATGTGATCTAGTGAAAATAAAAGCAGCTAATAATAAAAAGTAAAGATGGCGGCTCCCATGAAGAGCAGTTAGCCATGAGGAAACATGAGGGGAGTTAGAGGCTGCAGGGAGGGGAGGGGGGAGTGCTGAAAGGCTTGCCTTACCTTGCCGTTCTGTAAGTGTGGGTCCGATTTAACGTGAAAAAGTTGTTTACAAGAGTGTGAAGAACACAGTGAGCAGCGAGATGGTTTCAAACATCACAGTCAGAATGGTGCAAAGTAAAGGACAGTGAATGCATCATGCTCCTCGGTGCAACGCCATTGGTCAGGACCAACGCCACTTTAAAGACATCTTCCTGTTTCAGGTCAGTTACGACAACCAGAAAAAAGGTTCCTGTTCCTTTAAATACTTTGGCTAAGCCCAGATGGTGATGATGTCATCATTTTTCCCAAATTCAGACCAAACGTCCGTTCAGTGGGATTGATTCCAAAGCAACACCTCAAACAAACTGACTGCTGGCAGGAAATCAGCTCAGAACTCTGGCGTAGAACGATTTGAATAGAAGAACGTAGAACGTTCCTCTAGAAGAATGTAGAACATTCCTCTAGAAGAACGTAGAACGATTTGAATAGAACGTAGAACGTTCCTCTAGAAGAACGATTTGAATAGAAGAACGTAGAATGTTTCTCTAGAAGAACATAGAACATTCCTCTAGAAGAACGTAGAACGTTTCTCTAGAAGAACATAGAACATTCCTCTAGAAGAACGTAGAACTTTTCTCTAGAAGAACGTAGAACGTTCCTCTAGAAGAACGAAGAATGTTTTTTTAGAAGAACGTAGAACGTTTCTCTAGAAGAACGTAGAATGTTTTTTTAGAAGAATGTAGAACGTTTCTCCAAAAGAACGTAGAATGTTTTTTAGAAGAACGTAGACCGTTCCTCTAGAAGAACGTAGAACGTTCCTCTAAAAGAACGTAGAATGTTTTTTTAGAAGAACGTAGAACGTTCGTCTAGAAGAACATAGAACGTTTCTCTGGAAGAACGTAGAACACTTTGAATAGTAGAACATAGAACTTCTTCTAGAAGAATGTAGAACGTTTTTTAGAAGAACGTAGAACGATTTGAATAGAAGAACGTAGAACGTTCCTCTAGAGGAACGTAGAACGATTTGAATAGAAGAACGTAGAACGTTTTTTAGAAGAACATAGAACGATTTGAATAGAAGAACATAGAACTTCTTCTAGAAGAACGTAGAACGTTTTTTAGAAGAACGTAGAACGATTTGAATAGAAGAACGTAGGACGTTCCTCTAGAGGAACGTAGAACGATTTGAATAGAAGAACGTTCCTCTAGAGGAACGTAGAACGATTTGAATAGAAGAACGTAGAATGTTCCTCTAGAAGAACGTAGAACGATTTGAATAGAAGAACGTAGAACGTTCCTCTAGAAGAACGTACAACGATTTGAATAGAAGAACGTTTTTTTAGAAGAACGTAGAACGTTCCTCTAGAAGAACGTAGAATTTTCCTCTAGAAGAACGTAGAACGTTTCTCTAGAAGAACGTAGAACGTTTCTCTAGAAGAATGTAGAATGTTCCTCTAGAAGAGCGTAGAATGTTTTTTTAGAAGAACGTAGAACGTTCCTCTACAAGAACGTAGAACGTTCCTCTAGAAGAACGTAGAACGTTCCTCTAGAAGAACATAGAACGTTCCTCTAGAAGAACGTAGAACGCTTCTCTAGAAGAACGTAGAACGTTTCTCTAGAAGAACGTAGAACGTTCCTCTACAAAAACGTAGAACGTTCCTCTAGAAGAACATAGAACGTTTCTCTGGAAGAACGTAGAATGCTTTGAATAGAAGAACATAGAACTTCTTCTAGNTAGAAGAACGTAGAACGTTCCTCTAGAAGAACGAAGAATGTTTTTTTAGAAGATCGTAGAACGTTTCTCTAGAAGAACGTAGAATGTTTTTTTAGAAGAACGTAGAACGTTCCTCTAGAAGAACGTAGAACGTTTCTCTAGAAGAACGTAGAACGTTCCTCTAGAAGAACATAGAACGTTTCTCTGGAAGCACGTAGAACGCTTTGAATAGTAGAACATAGAACTTCTTCTAGAAGAACGTAGAACGTTTTTTAGAAGAACGTAGAACGATTTGAATAGAAGAACGTAGAACGTTCCTCTAGAAGAACGTAGAATGCTTCTCTAGAAGAACGTAGAACATTTCTCTAGAAGAACGTAGAATGTTTTTTTAGAAGAACGTAGAACGTTCCTATACAAAAACGTAGAACGTTCCTCTAGAAGAACATAGAACGTTTCTCTGGAAGAACGTAGAATGCTTTGAATAGAAGAACATAGAACTTCTTCTAGAAGCAGTCCTGCAGCATCATGGGCTGAAACGCCGCTCAGACAGGAAGAAGCCATCCTCCATTGCAGATTAAAGTTTCACTCAGGGACAAAAACAAGGATTTTCATTGGCATACATTTTCTTTTAGTGATGCTAACTGACCTGAAACAGGAAAATAAACTTTAAGGTTTTACTTTTTTAAAGTTAAACTAAACATTGATTAATATTGCTGACAGAACAACAGTCGATTGATTATGCTAATTTTCCAGACAAAACATAACAAAACATGCAGCTGGTGTTTGGTTGGCAGTGAATGACCCAGGCTGCGAGCATTAAACGTCTTTTAGACATAAAACTGATCAACTTCTTCTACAGTTTACAGGATTATTATCTCTAAGATAAAACGTTTCCTCTCTGTTTCAAAGAATAAGATTGCTTTACTATTCTGAGCTGGGAGGAGTTGAAATATTGGATGTTTCACTGAAACATGGCTGCAGCATCAAAAACCTTCAAACCGTCTGATGGTTTCAGCAAACGGCGTTTTAAAGACGAGCAGGAAAAGCCACGGATGAGCAGCGGCTGTGAACAGATGCTGCCATTCAGGACATGATAGAGTGAAGCTCCATCTGCCTGCAGTCGCTTCTGTTTATACGGTAGCAGCCATTTAATACGGTCCTTCACAGTCAGACGCCCGCCGAATGGAAGACCACTTCCCTCCAACTCCCAGCCACTGCAGTGACCCCCCTTCCCTGAATTACAGGCTCTGACCAGGAGGTGGCGCTTCTCTTTAGATCCTAATCTCCACAAATCAGGAAGGAAAGAATATTTTAGTACAAAGATTGATGTTTAAAAAGGAATTATAGGGAACCAGCCAAGGACCCCTCAAGGACCCCTCAAGGACCAGCCAAGGACCCCTCAAGGACCAGCCAAGGGCCCCTTTAAGGACCAGCCAAGGATCAGCCAAGGACGAGTCAAGGACCCTTCAAGGACCAGCCAAGGACGAGTCAAGGACCCTTCAAGGGCAAACTAAGGACCAGTCAAGGACCCTTCAAGGACCAATCAAGGACCAACCAAGGACCAACCAATGACGAATCAAGGACCAGTCAATGACCAGCCAATGACGAATCAAGGACCAGTCAATGACCAGCCAATGACCAATCAAGGACCAGTCAATGACCAGCCAATGACCAATCAAGGACCAGTCAATGACCAGCCAATGACCAATCAAGGACCAACCAAGGACCCTTGAAGGAAAGTGGGGAATGGCTACTACTGTATCATTTACCCAGAATCCACTGGGGTTATTTCATGTGAAGCTATCTGCCCAGTTGTTGCTAAGCTACAGACACTATTAATCTGTAGCTGATTTAGACTCAATAAAAAGTAAAAAAGAAACATTGATCAATCATTAAATTGCAGGATGTTGGTAAATATTCTCCGTTTAAACCTAAAGGGTTTGATTTGGCAGCCTCTGTCATTCTCCCATCATTCAGCGCATCCCTACTGCTATGAAAGACTTCATGCAGACAGACTGACATGATCACTGCAGAGGACAGACAGACAGCTTTCCCACAATGCATCAGCACAATATGCATCAACTTAAAAACATCACAGAAGCATCGTGCACTCATATCAACTCCTCACATTTATCACGTATATGTAAATGCACTGAGGACTACCGATGGAAAAATAATCTCATATGATGGTAAAGTTAAAAAAAAGAAAGTTTCTATGACATCAGTGCAGAAATAAGGAAGTTTTAGCTTCACATGGCGGCAGCTTAGCCATACATGGAGACGCCCGACTGAACAAGACCAAACCGAAACGGATAAAAGTGTGAAATCAGCAAACGGTGAAAGAATGAAGGAGAGAAAAGAAGGAGTGACGATACAGAGAGGAATATCTGAGTGAATCAGAGAGGAAGTTTATACCTCAGTAGTCCTATTGACCATCATCTGATGCAGGGGGGGAGGGGGGGAGAGAGCAGTTCAGTTAGGATTAGAACTCACTATAGACCGAGCTCAGCAGAGACATGGCTAGAGCGCCTCCTGGATCTCATAACATGGCGGCCCTCAGATGCTTCCATGCTGAAATTATTACAGCTTCAATGGAAAATATCTAAATATGGAATCAGATCAAAGTCGCTGGTGAAGATTCTCACTCATC